CTTCTATCCATCTGCGATAGTCTCACGACAATGTATCAATGACTCTTACCGCTAGTCAAAGTTCATGTGAACATCGATACATGCCAGTATTTGCAATGGCAGAAAAATTGCTTTGCGGCGCCCAAAGCACGAGATGGAACTGCAGGCTGCGAGACGAGTTTTGAGCGCGAAACGCTCTCAAAGTTGCTTGGTCGACGCCTCGCACCTGATACGAGCCACGCGGGTGCGAGGTACTGTGGCAAGAGATGGAAATGGCGAAGCAGCTCACGCGCTGGAGCGTGTGCGAGGACTGGGTGGCGTTGAGATATCTCTACCGCCTTCTAGCGTGCTTTCGGGAGGTCGTAAGTTCGCTGATGGCTGGGGCTTGTGAGGTCACAAGGGGCTGGACAACCGAGTTCGATAGTGGACCGCTTGCGCACTGTCCTAGTTCGCGGCGTGGAGCGCAGTTACCATCCGGGACAGCTCCGCAGCGTGCAGGGTAGCGGGTCCTTATCTCTGCGAGTCACACGACGCTGATAAGCAGCCGGATGGGCAACGTTTCTCCCTTGGCGCACGCTTGGCGTCCCCGAGAGAGGCTGGCAGGTGAGGGCCATGGGATGAACCTGTGGCTGGCAGGCAAATGTGGGATAGCACCAGGCAGACGAGGGAGCTTGTGGCGCTGCCTGCCAAACACAGCCCGAATTCCGAATCGCCACCGACCGAGAAGCGGCCCGCCGATCAGCTTAGCGTGTCCCTGCCTCGGGAAATGGGACCAAAAATGCTTGCGGCTGAGGGTTGGCGCAAATTGCGCGGTTCTGTGCTAGACGCCGAACATTCGGCGGCAAAGTCGTCACTGGCAGTCGGTGTCTCCGCTTGGCAAATTTACGGTGGTCTATTGGCTGATCTTCGTCGACACCGGCGGCAAGGGGGAGCATGTAACACTCCCTGGACAGCGCTCCCCCTCGTCAGCCTCTCGTTCACCCGGGGACGAACTATACTAGTGCTCTCATTGACCCACCGCTCAGGTTCGTCGCCATAGCTCTTCTTACCTCCTCCTACCTCTCACCTCCTTCCCCTCCCCTCCGCCTTTATCTTCTCCCACCCCGCACTGCCCCACCACAGGCTATCAGCCTGTGCTCGAGCTAAAAAGACACTCGCGACGCGTGCTGCCTGCGCATCTGCCCCTGCGAGTGCTGCCGCTTCTACGATCGCCTGACGTCTGTTCCCTGTCCCGAAGCCAACCATGGACCGCCACCTGCCTCCAGGCATATCACCAAGTGAGTTGTATCAAACCGCCGGGATTTGCGCTTTTGCACCCGTGCAGCGAGCCAATTTCACGTCTGATCCACGTCCCTTTCACGCTCTAGAAACCCTATCTGCCGCCGTCGATGTCAGTCAGTGAGTAACCGGCCCAGATAGCGCCTTCTCCTCCATGCCTTATCGTTCCTCGTCTCACACAGGTTCGACCGCGGAGACATCTCGTTTATCATCATCTGCGGCGCGCTCGTGCTCTTCATGGTCCCAGGCATAGGTACGTACACGCTCTCGTCAAGCCCTTCTCCGGGGCTCCGTCGTCGTCCACAGCGCTCACCGGTCTCCTTATCTCTTGCCCTCTCTTCCCTCCCCCGCAGGCTTCCTCTATTCCGGTCTCTCCCGCCGCAAGAGCGCACTTCACCTCATATGGATCGTCGCCGCGAGCAACGCCGTCACCATCTTCCAGTGGTACTTCTGGGGCTACTCCCTCGCCTTCTCCTCGACGGCGACGAACGGCTTCATCGGGAACCTCTACCACTTTGGCATGCAGCGCGTGCTCGCCGACCCGAGCCCCGGCTCCCCGCTCATCCCGGAGCTCCTCTACGCCTTCTACCAGATGGAGTTCGCCTGTGTCACCGTCGCCATCCTCGTCGGTGCCCTCGCAGAGCGGGGACGCGTCCTGCCCGCGCTCGTCTTCAGCTTCCTCTGGATGACTCTCGTCTACTGCCCTCTTGCGTGCTGGGCCTGGGCCCCGAACGGCTGGGCATTCAAGTGGGGGGTGCTCGACTACGCAGGTCCGTCTCGCGCGCACTTCGCGCCTCTCTTCTTCTCCTCCTTTCTTCTCAATAGCAAACGTTGCGTTTCTAACGCTTTCTTATACCCAGGTGGCGGACCCGTCGAGATCGGGAGCGGGATCGGGGGCTTGGCGTACTCCTGGGTGCTCGGCCGCCGCACCGAGCGCGAGCTGCTCAACTTCCGGCCGCACAACGTCTCGCTCGTCGGCCTCGGCACCTTCGTGCTCTGGCTCGGCTGGCTCGGCTTCAACGGCGGCTCCGCCTTTGGCGCGAACCTCCGCGCCGTGCTCGCCATCTGGAACTCGATGATCGCCGCCGCGTTCGGCGGCATCGTCTGGTGCTTCCTCGACTACCGCGTCGAGCGCAAGCTGTCCATGGTCGGCTTCTGCTCGGGCACCATCGCCGGCCTCGTCGCCGCCACGCCCACGTCCGGCTACGTCCCGCTCTGGGCCTCCGTCATCACAGGGACGATCGTCGGTGCGGTGTCGAACTACGCCACCAAACGTGCGCATCCCCTCCCTTCTTCTTCTTCTTCTCCGCAGCGCACTGACCCTGACAGGCGCCCCCTTGCACAGTCAAGTTCTACCTCCGCATCGACGACGCGCTCGACCTCGGCGCGGAGCACGCGATGGGCGGCATCATCGGCCTGCTCCTCAACGGCCTCTTCGCGGACAAGAACCTCGTCGCGCTCGACGGCGTCAGCGCCGTGCCCGGCGGCTGGCTCAACCACCACTACCGCCAGCTCTACGTCCAGTTCGCCTACGTCTGCGCGACCGTCGGCTACACCTTCGTCGTCACCGCGCTCCTCGCCAAGGCGCTCGACCTCGTCCCGGGCATGCACCTCCGCGCGTCGCCCGAAGAGGAGGCGCTCGGCATGGACGACGTCCAGGTGGGTCATTCCTCCTCCTTTTTTTTTCGTACGCCCCACTTGGGGACAATGCAGCTGGCGCTAACACGCGCGCGCGCACCTCCTCGTTTTTTTCTTTTTCGCCAGATCGGCGAGTTCGTCTCGGACTACGTCGAGGTCCGCAGGGACTACCGCGACTGGACACCGGCGTACCACCGGCCCGCTGTCGGCGGCAAGGCCGAGGGCTCCGAGTCGGGCACGAGCACGCCCACCGCCGCGGGCGACCGCCACGGCCACCCCGACGTCGCGGCGCACCACGCGCCGGCGGCGGCACACGAACGTGCCCCGGTGGTGGGGACGAAGCCGCAAGACGCGCTCGGGGTCGTCTCTGAAAAGCCCGTCGAGGAGGCCGTGTAGGGAGAGGAGGCTTTGTGTCTGTTGGAGACCTAGGACGAACGGAGGGGATGATTTGGAACTGACATGACTGACCCGCCCCTTCTCACGCGACCGGGCAAAACTCATCGTCTCCTTGCTCATGTTTATTGGGTATTGAATATCTATCTCACGATCGCTTACGCTTTCAAGTTCTTCTTGGATGTAATTCTCTTGGGTGTATTAATGGTGTGTTAGCATTTATCTCATATATACATAGAGTCATGACCTACTTTCACACAACGAGACTGGAGCTTATGGGGAGATACTTCAAACTAGGTTTGATTCATTCGCAAAATAGACAGTACACTTTCATTCCGTGCGAGCATCTATCGCGTGTCCAAGGCTCGTCATGCTAGATACACAATTTGAGATGATGAGTGATAAGATGAATGCCAGTCAACGTAGAAAGTGGGACGATGGCTCAGAGCGTGAGCTGTTCGAGGTCCTTAGGGAGGCTGTCGGGAGCCTTCCACATCCAGAAAGGACCTGGACGGAAGCCGGTCAGTACAGTGGCCACATGACAACCACAAGTCATGATGTGCGTACCTGCAGGATCCCCAACTAGAAACGAAGAAAATCAAGTCAAGAGAGTGCAGAGGATTGAGCTGAAGAGACATGCCTTCTTCGTGCACAGCAACTGTCCAGATCCCGGCGATGCCCATGGCGGAGCCCACGTTACCGACTTGCACGGCTTCGGCGCTGAATCTCGCATGTGTGCGCGCATCAGCACCGCAAACTCGAAGCACACCGGCTGGCGAAGCACACAAAGAGAGGGGCACGTACCTCCACCTGTTTGCGCTGTCGTCGTACGACGTCACCTGGTCAGTCGACACGCACAAAATCTAGTCAGTCCACGCGTCCGTGAGCATGGTCGAATAGCAAACAGAAAGATTGGGGGGGGAGGTGGAAACGGACGAGGAAAAGGGAGAGGGAGCAGGGCGAGGAAGAGAAGATTGAGAGAAACATCAGTACAGTGCTCACAAAGTTCCAGCGCACGGTGCCGTCGCGCATCATTTGAACCGTGCCTCTGATCCTGGACGTGCCGCTGTGAACGCCCTTCGACGAGCCCTCGAAGCGGATCGTTGGGTACGACGAATCGAAGTCACCCCTCACCGACGCCGGGCCGGGGCCGGACGCGAAGAGTGAAGACGCACACCTGCTCGCGGAGGCAAGCTCGGGAGACGACATCGGTGAGTCGGGTGGGTCAAGGACTTTGAGGTCGACTTCCATCAGACGGACGGCTTCTGTGAAGTCTTCGTCGAAAAAGTTGGGGTTGAGTGGCCCTGCGTTCAAAGCAGAGAACTGAAAAGGAACAACGTGGGTCTGCGGTGAGCATTTGTGACTACTGGTTTTGTCGCAGAAGAGGGCACATACGTTAAAAGCTGTTCGCACGAATGAAAGGGAAGCTATTAGACAAGCTTGGCTAGATTCGTCATAGTGCACGTACTGAAGAGGTCCCTGTAGTCCGAATCATGCATGAGGCCGGAAACTTGGCTTATTGGCAATGATACTGACCTGTAATCCATGAAGCAGACAACTCTCCTCCATTTCCCCTCAACGCCAGCCCAATCCCACGGCTTCCTCTTGTCCGCATCCGGCGCAGAGTACGGCCTGGTGGACTGCAAGCCCCACTCAGGCCACACCCTCTTCCAGCTATCCGGAAAGTCCTTCAAGTTCATCAGCACGACGTTCTGTATATGCCTCACGTGCTCCCAATCGACGCGGAGTCGCCCGCTCGCGTCGAGTGTGTAGGGGCCCCAGAGGGTGTCAGACTTGTACTTGCGCAGGTCGTAAACGTAACACCGGCTCACGGAGCGCAGGTTTGCGAGACGCACCCGACTCTCCTTTGTCTCGCCATCTTCGCTGGACAGCGCGAGGTAGCAGCGCAGCTGGGCGACAAGCTGCCGCCCGCTGCCTGGAGCAGACACGACGCGGGAAGGGGATGAAGTCTCAGTGCAGAACAGTGGCGAGTTTACGAGCACGCTCTGGACCCATCGCAGGTTCTCAGAGGTGCCTTCGCGGCCTGGCAGAGCGGAGACGACCGCTGCCACAAGCACGCGGAGGGCGGTACGGATCGGCCTGTCCTCTTCCTCGTCTCCAAGCTCGGCGGCATTGTCCTCGTTCAATACGGCGGTCATGGCGATGGATTGGGAGACGAGCGCGCTCTCGGCGTGAAGCCAACGCTGCAGCGTGCTTCTCCAGTCTATCTCGGCAGTGGACAGCTGAGAGCTCCCGAGGGCTTTGCGGGGGTCATCGAATGGGTGGGACAGGAAGGACACTCGCCAGACAACTTGGTCGTTATCGTTGTACACGATGTCGCGCAGCGGGCGGCATGTCGCCGCGAACCGGGCGAGGTCCCGCGGCTCGCAGAACTTGAGGACGTGCTCGGTGAGTTCCTGGGGGATGGCCAAGAAGGATGAGTGCGTGAGATGGGTCGTCATCGCTGCAGACGAGTCGGACGTTGCGCTCGACGTTCACACCGTCGCCGGGGAGACGACAGTAGCCCAGGGAAGGCTGCTGAGTGAGCCATACTTATCCGGGTCGGAAACACGTCCCGTCTGTCTCACACCAACATTGCGTAGGAGGCGTCTAAGCTTGAGCTTCAGAGCGGATGGGGGCTTAGATTCGGATCAGCGAGACGCGCAAGCATCTGCCGCGAAGCGGGACTATCAGGATAATTCTCCATGGCATGTCGGAGCAGTCCAAAAAACTAGAATGGGGGTTTACAATAGCAGCTACTAAGAGTGTTGTCGTCTGACCCCAAAGGTCAATGGGGCACCAGCTAGTCGGAAATTCCCGAAACGGAGCCCGCTGAGTCATAGATCTTCATGTAACATATTTACAGACAAAGTGTGAAGGTCCTGTCATTTTCGAAGATACGCGTTGCAGTACCTGCCTGCTCCCTCGCACAGCCGTTTCATATCAAGTCTCAAGTAGGCATTGAGGTCTCAATCCATCAATTTGCCTGGGTATTTGTGCATCTTAGATGTTTCTGCTTGCCTAAGCATTTGTTCTGTACAATGTGATTCCTTCGTAGCTTGATTTGCATGTCGCAGTCGGTGTGGCAAAACAAAGACTACAGCGTCACTGCTCATTCTTGACCGCTGGCCTTCTTCGTGAAGTGCAAAAGCTTCTTGTACAGCGACTCGTATCTGGACAAACGACATCAGCACATTCACACGGTCAATTTCGAAAACCGAGATAACGCACTTAGCCTTGTTATCAGCGTCATCGAGGTTCGCACGCGCAGCAGCGAAGCCGTGGAAACTGTAGCCGAGCGGTCAGAACGGGGTACAAGATCCGGATACCACAAGGGACTCACGAGTCAAAGTGCTTGAATGAGTTCTTGTCAGCGAAAGGTTTCTTGGCTAAGATGCTCTGAATCTTCTCGAACTGTGCAAAAGCAGAATGAGTCCCGAGAAGACGATCGATCCGTGCAGTACTTACTTCCTCCGTCGGCTCATCATTGCTGATGAATAAACCGACCGGGACATTGAGATTCTCGTAGTCGGCGGCCGAGAGCATGCTATATGGGCCAATCAGACAATGAAAACTCAGTAAGGCACAAGATACACACGCAGGATGAATGCATGAGACCGCTTCGATCAAGCCTCCGGGCTGTGTCGCGGCGCTGAGCGCAACTTTGCCACCCCAGCAGAAGCCGTAGGTAACGATGAACTGGACACCCTCGCTCTTCAAAGTCTCAGCAACCTTGATGACGCGCGGGACATGGTTGGCGGGGTTCGCGAAACCGGCGAACCATTCCTGGAACTTCTGCTGGTCCTCCGGCTTAGTCGGCGGGAACTTGTCCAGAGTCCAGGGCTCGTCGCCCTCGAAGAAGTCGGGCATGTATACTTGAGCCCCCAGCTCTTCGGCAAGGATGTCCGCACCCTGCTGGGTCTGCGGCTTGAAGCTTGTGCACCGAGGGCAGTCAGCATGCCATTGCTGAAATGCGAGTGGTGAGAGCGCACCCAAAGATGTCAAAGACGCAGATCACGGCGAGCTTTCCAGGGTTTGCAGGGCCGGCGACGTAGACCTAATCAGACCAAATCAGGAGTG